GGCTCCTCAATCCGCTCCGCAGGGCGCGCTGGGTCGCTCAGCCATGGGGCAGTATCTATGTCGTGCAAATCACACTTCTGATTTTTAGAATGCTTTCTTCTATCTTAGCCTGTTTTCCATGTGCAGGTTTTCACGTTTGCAGCTTCTCATTTGATGGTTACCCCATTGCACGTGTTTCTTTGTTTCCCGGCCACCGAAACAAGCTTTGTACGCTAGGAAATTTCCCTGAGCTTCTGCCAAACCGAAGCACAATTCTTTAGTAATAAACAAGTGGGAGGTAGGAAGGGAGACAGGCTTGACCATAACAGAAACGTTCAATTTCTGCTTGGTGTTTTTTCATTCCTAGGAACATGCTTCGGGAGGACGCACACGGTAAATGGACAGTGTCCAGCAGTGATGAAAGTGCCGAGGAAAACTCGGACAGTGAAAAACCATGTACATCTTCACTATCGGATGCTGCGTGTGGTAGTACTAGTGGACCACAATATCCATGCTCTGAAGCTAGGAAAGCTGCTCACAAGAGAAAAGCTTCCCCCGTGAAGTTCACTGATACAAGTCTTTCTGCAGAAGCACCTCCAGCAGTAAAACAGAGACCAGGCCAAGAAGGTTCAGGTTGGTGTCTTTCTAGTAGTGATGAAGAGCCTGAAGATGAGCAAAAGCATGCCCACAAAGAAACAGTGAAAGAAGAAAAACACGATGTGTCCGAAGAGCATCCTTCGAATCTTTGCAAAGATGACAAACTCTCAGAGAATCTGAAAGAGGAGGAGTATGATGTAACACCCAGTGAAGCCCAGGATACCTGGGATTTGGTGACTGGAGGCAATCCTTTCAGGTTTTTTCTCACTAAAGTCAGAGGAATTGAACGGAACTATAATTCTGGAGCCCTGCACATAAAAGGTAAACAAGTGGCTTCTACTGCAAGAGGGCTTTGGGGAGAAAGCAAGGGAATGCTTATTTTTAGTTTGTGGGTATTTTTAAATGCAGCTATTTCTTGATGTTGCTGAGGTTTTGTATTCTGAACGTGCAGGTTTGTAGAAATTGATTCTGTTATCTGGACCTTTCTCTTTTAGAAGTATAGTGTATAAAACATTCTCTGCTGATACTTAATTGCAATTATTTAGCCAAGGCAAGTCGTGCTGCTTCTTATTGCTGCTTTCCCTGTGAGCTAGTCTGGGGAAAAGCACCTGTCACTCTTAAGGGGGTGCTTTACTTGGGTACATAACTCTGAGTTGTTGTTTGTGCTTGCCTTTGTGCTATTGAGTGGTTTGGACCTAGTAATTCACTATTACTAGGTGAAGTACTTCTGAAATTCTGTCTCTGGAGTTCATGAATCTGTTTAAATTCAGATGGGAGAGAGCTGTCCATCAGTTAATATGGAGTGGAGTCTTTGGTGTACAATACAGATGCCTCAGGAATGCTCTGTTATTTGTTTGATGTAAGGGGGAAAGCTTTCTGCACCTGTAAACATCCCTGTAGTTAGAAATAAAATCTTACACATCACAAGACAATCAGAAACGAGATTTAATAAGAGAATTGTGTACAGTTTCCTATGTTAATGTGATTGAGCTATGGATGCACATATCCCACAATCAGTCTGCAGCAGATAAATCAGCATTAGCTATGCCCTTATTGCTGCTACTCTGCCACAGTTCTTCAAGCTCACTCAGCAGGGGAGAATATAATTTGTTGTCTCTTTCTCAATATGATGTTGGACTTTTTCCTAATCAGCTTTTAAAACTTGTTTTTTGTTTTGAGAGGATTATTAATTTTTCTAAGCATATGATCCTAAATGATTCACAGGAGAGTTAATGACTTGAAATACTTGGAACAATAAACTTATGAATGCCTCTGTTACACCAGGTCTATGAACAATCTGGCCCTTGTACCGTGGTAGTTATCAAGCTGTTCAAGATGCTATTATGTTTACTTGAAGCTTTTTTTATTTATTCATGCTTTAATATTTTTAATAGATATTTTGTCTCCTCTTTTTGGAACTCTCATATCTTCTGCCCAGGTGAGTTTCCTGTTTGTCAAACTGATTTCTCTTGCTTGTTTCACTACATTAATCTTAAACTTGATAATCCATGCCTGAGCCATGTACTGATATTAAATGTTTCCAACTGTTAAACAATTTATTGAAATATAAACACCATCCTATGTTCTGCTGTAGAATTTAGGCAATTATAAAACTGCTTTCTCCTGTTTTTGAGGAAAGTGCAACTGAGAAGCGTGTATTTATGTTAATATAAATGAGGTTTTTTGAAAGAAAAAATGCCTTGCAATCCAGGAATAATGTCTTTGTTATTGCCTAGAAGTTTTGCTGTCATTCATGATATAAACACATGGCAAAGAGATGATCCTTGCACCTAAGCTTTTACATTATGTGCGTGTGATTCTTTTTTCCCTGGATAGTAAATTTTATGAGCACTAATGCACACTTTTGAGTAACTTAAATTCATTCTTTAGTTGTGAAAGAGGAATGAAAGAAAGGATATAAAAGTAAAAAATACATCTGTTTTTAGAATATGCTATATATGAGGTAAATACTTATGTGTGATTAACATAAAAAGCTTTTTTGCTGTAGTTCATTGATATAGCTGGGTTTTTTTTCTTTTTAATGAGTCTGTTTTCTTTTTCTTACATACAAGTTTAACTACTGTATAGATGTGGGATGGCTTGTAAGACAGTACCCGCAGGAATTCAGGTATGTTTATTTTACAAATGTGAAATGATGACATTTCCAGATCATTTCTGTTCATACAAGGTCCTGTTATAAGTGAATGATAAGCACTTCTTGCACTGCAGGTGATTGTTACCAATTTGATATGCACAGACTCTTAGTGTTCTTTCTTCTCTCATTCCACAGCTGTAGTTCTCTGATTTCTTGACTCTTTTCTAGACTGGAAAATAGTTAGAGTTCAGGATAGCTGGTTTCTGATTGTTATTAGTTCACACTGAAGAGGTCCCACTGTGGGCCTCAATGAGAAGGCAGTAGATGACCTATAAAGGTGGAGCAAGAAGCTTTTTGCCCTACAGTTCACTGAGTCAGGAGCCAGATAGTGCAAGAGAAAGAAGAGAAAGTAGAAAGGGCACAAGAAAACTGTGTGGCAAGGATCAGGATGGTTGCATGGATATGATATAGTAAGTTGATGGGTATTGTCATGAAAGCAGTTCTTGTTTGCTTGAAATTCCTTTCTGATAATTGCAAACTCCTGCAGATGAAGTGAGCATATAATGTGCCTTTTTTTTTTTTTGTTTTGCTGGAAGTGCAATAGAACCAGAATTCACAGAATCACAGAGTGGATAAGGTTGGAAGGGACCACACCATTCCTTGTGGGATCCTCCACTACATGTGTCAGAAAGCTGTCATCAGTGCTTTCAAGGAGCTTCCTGTACTGTTTGTTTTGCTGTGTTCCTTCTCCACACACATCAGGGTAGTTAGTTCCCCACAAGGACCTGGGTCTGGGGCTGCTGCTGTAGAAGGCCTCATCCTCTTAGCCATGCTGATCAGATGGCAGCAGCAAACACCAACAGTGTCACTCTTACTCATCTGCTTTTTTATCCTAACCCCTGACATCTTGATTGATATGTTCAAAGTGTTGCCTCATGTAGAGGGCAGCTCCACTACTGCACCTTCCTGTCCTTCCTAAACAGCATGTAGCCCTTCATGACAATATTCCAGTTGTGTGAGCTACCCCACCATGTCTCTGTAATTGCACTGTATCAAAGCCCTGTGAGTGCACACAGCTCTCCAGTTTTGCCTGTTTGTTCCCTGTACTATGGTGTGCAGGTGCTTTATGGAAGTATCTGAGTGTGCCAGTATCTCAGGGGGGATGCAAAGGGATACCCCATAGTCCTGTCTTTTAGTTATGCATTTAACTGCTTTACTCTGTGCAGTTAGCTCCACCCTGTCCCATCATTCCCTGCAGCTGGCAGGAGAGAACAGAACACAACTTGTGCTCCAGTTGTCCCAAGGCCTTGAGGTCCCTCTCGCTTGTCTGCAGTCTTGTTGGGACTTTGTGGGTACTCTCTTAAAAAAAACATAATAATCAGTGGGCTGAGTTTTCTTGGTGGTCCAGTCTCTTACCTGACACACACCTCCCTATGGATTAGATCTGGTTGGCAGGACCAGAAGTTTACTTTTAGGAAGTGAACACCAAATTAGTGCCAGAATAGACCCTCTCCTTTTCCCTATCAGTGTTCCACCTTCTCTGTAGATAATAATTACTAAATTGTCTTAGGTCCACATTGTGTATATCGGTGCTTTTGAGAGCTTACATTTGTCTGTTCGAGCTCTAGGGAGAGTTTCTTTCATGATCTTGTATAAAAGTTTTTATTTTGGTGCCTGCTTTACTCCACACTTCCTGTTTCCCTTTTTTTTTTTTTTTTGTTACCATTTTCCAGTGTCTATTCTTTAGAGGTTCTATTGTAGTTACTTGTATTTTGAATTAGTTAATAAGGCATACTGATTTCAGTGCCATCTTTCTGCTGGACTGTCAGATTTAGGGGCCAGATAC